TCACCTGCCACACACCTAACCATAGTCGGACGCGCTACTACTTCTAGTTGTTCTCTATCGCTGAAGGCGTATTTCGCTAATTGTAAGGGCCTTGATATCAACGCAAGCGATGCACCAAGCCGACTGCGCGAGCGCAGAGACGGCAACCGGGAATCACTCCGGACCTGGTCGTGCGCTCATTTGAGTGGAGAAAGTGTTAGTTAGGTGCGGATCCATTCGCCTCGCACATGGCAAAGCCTGTCCTCGTAGACTTTGTGTACACTTTTTCTTCAGTTTGACCCTCCAAACCGTACAAACGCAGCCTAGGCCCCCAACTGTTGTTCCAACAGTATTAAAGTCACATTCTCAACAATGATACGGGTGCAGAAAACCACAGGAAAAAAATGTCATCGTTCCTTCTGTGTTTACCAGGCGATCCAAACGAAGGCATGAATTTCAGGAAGCCCTTGCAAATATGACAGATCATAACAGCTTCATGACAAAAATGTGGGACTATCGTCTTGTGATGGAGGCTTATGATATGATCGCCACGTACAACAGTCTCGAGCGTGAAACAACAGCACACGGCTCAGCTCGATCGATAAATATCTTCCGAACGTCACCCCGACTGGCTGCAAAACGGATAACGTTCAAGGTAAGAGGAGATAATGTTACCATCTTACCTTCACTGATTCATGAAACTAGTGCCTCATAAAGGATAACGATAGAATTTTCGCCGTTGATCAATTCCCTTTGTGAGATGCGACACGCAGTTCTTTTTCCATTTAGATTCGTAGGGGTTTATTTAAGGCGATGTGGCATTTACAATGATTTAGCGATCCAGTCGACCTACAAGTCAATGTGCATATTCTCCCAGACTAAACTGGTACCGATTTATCGTCCTTGAAGGTAGAAGACTTGCTCGGCCTGGGAGGGAGTCGACCCGTGATCTGAACCCAGGACGTGGCGAACGCGCCACTTGTCACTGCACCACCACCGCCTCTAGCGCCACATATCGTGTTTTGAATATTATTACGGATTTGATGGAAGCACGGCGACAGTTCCAAAGAACTCAGTGGGCTTTAAATTTCTCTACTTGGACGAGATCTTCGACCAGCAACGAAACCACAATTAATATCAAGTCCGCGTGTCTATTTGTCGGACAGCTGCTGTTCCAGTAGTGCGGCGTTTGTCACGAGAAAGAACAAGGGTTCTTTTATTCCAGCGGATGTTTACTGTCAATTTCTCGATCTCCAGATGATAGCTCAGGGTCCTACTCCGGTTCTAAGAACAAAGAGGAGACGGATACCTCGGAGCCAATATTCATAACGATTCGACACTTCATTTTAGACGCATCTTGGGTGGTATAGATAAGCAGAGGGCAGATCCCCTGAGAGGGGGGGGGATCACGCGTAGGGTTGGCCACTTTGGGCTTTGAAGATGAGTAGAGACCGATGAGCCTGGACGAAATTCGCGCGTAAAGTTAGTCAACAAGATTAATCGCGTTTTAGCTCCTGAGGATGGTAACGATGGTGGGAAGAGGAGGGGAGCAGGGGGGGGGGGGTCTCGTGGGAAGTGTAAATGAGGAAGCAGGTAAAAGGGTGATCTTGGGGCAGCTATGGAAGGAGGGTAGGTGCCAAACGACCGATTGTTTCCCGCCTCCATAGTATGGTCTGAACTACTGTCATCTCTTTGTAGTCCAGTCAACAGGCAATGAAATCTTATTCGCTCGTAGGATCCGCTTTTTGCCGTGCAGGTGGTTTCAGCTTTCATAACCAAACACTACTTTTACCAGAACTTCCTTCTGGTACGGGGGAGAAGTAAATATAACTACGGTCCTTCAGTTTGCTCCACTCGACCGGCACAACTCAACTCACCTATCGCAAAAAAAATGTTCTCCGGTAAAGGGTATCGAAAATGGGCTTGAAGGCTGTCCAGGAGTCTAGCGCTCCTGCCAACTCACGTACAGTTGCGTTCGTCTGTGCCTCCACACTCTTTTATTAGGTCGTTGCAAAAGAAATGCAGGATTTTGCTTGCTTGTATTTCATACTTATTTTATTCCAATAATATGTTACTTTAATATGAAGTGTTATATACTATTCGGAAGCTCATCTCATGCTCTTTCTAAATGATACTCCAAGATTGGTTGTAATTCATTTTATTATAATTTTTATTGACATTTTATTGCAGATGTCGAAACGTGAATTTCGCACTATTTTCTTCTATGAGTTCAAGCTAGGACGAAACGCTGCCGATACAGCTCGGAACATCAACGAAGTTTGGGGTCAAGGAAGTGTCAACGAATGTACGGTCCAACGTTGGTTCCAGAAGTTTCGCTTCTGGCAACACCAGCCTTGAAGATGAACCTCATGTTTGGTGGTCTGCCGCCGGTCTCATCCATCACAGCTTCCTGAATCCTGGTGAAACAATTACGGCAGAGAAGCAAACATGAGGTCACTATGAAGG